AAACACCGTGTGACGAACTGACTGCAACCCCCATTCCCCGTCCCCCTGTGCCGCTGGGGGGGAAGGAGAGAAATTGGGAGTGAAGTTAAGCCTGAAAAAAAGGGAGGGGTGGGTGGTTTAAGATTTGGTTTTATTTCACATTATCCTACTCTAATTTTGATTGGTAATAAAATTAAACTAATTTCCCCAAGTCAAGTTTGTTTTTCTCATGACAGTAATTGGTGAGTGATCTCTCCCCATCCTTATCTCGACCCATGAGCCTTTCATTGTATCTCTCCCCTGTCCAGCTGAGGAGGGGAGTGATAGAGCAGCTCTGGTGGGCACATGGCCTCCAGCCAGGGTCAACCCACCACATCACCCCTGATATTCCACCTTACAAATCATTTACGCACCCAGCAGTCTTTACTCATGAATTACAGCAGCAGTTATTACAATCAATACTGAATACCTAGCAAATCTATTGAAGAAAGTCTCTACAATACTTAAAAGGCTTAACATCTCTGTTAACATCAATCAAAAACCTAAATAATCTCCATTTTTCTGAGTAGTAAAATCCACTTACATTACATTACATGTATATACACTTGCACAAAAGAAATTTTCAAGTGAATAAGGGAGAATCTCTCTCACGCTGTACTGAACTGTGAGTCATGAACACTTCCAACAGTCCACATTCACTTGTTTTATCTCTTTTTCACAAAGGAACTCATTTCAGCCCAGAACTTAAAAAGATGCTTAATACCCTGCTAGGTTCCAATACAGCCAGAAAAACAACCATTTACTCTGTGTCATGTTTGAGTTCTAAAATATTCATGTTCTAAAAAAGGATAATGAACTTCTAAACATTTGCCAATAAAGGTAACTATATTTTTAGGCCTTCCTCAATAGGAATATTCTATAAGCTCCAGATGTGTCAATCAAAATTTGGTATTAAATGTTACCTTTTAATGATTTAAATCTACTGGACAAACACAGAGTACTCGAGGTTGACAGCGTGCCCTCTTTCCCACTGAGCATGAATAGGTGAACACAGAAGCTTCTAAGGCTACCTTGTAATTCTCTAGCATCAGCTCTATATTCTTGGCCTTCAAATATGATGCCAAAAGTGCTCTGAGGTAAGATGAGGATTCCCCAGCATCAGCCAGGAATGTCAGCTTGTCCCTGGTATGAAGGAAGTATGTGGAGTCAGCTGCTTGGAATAGGAACAAAACAATTTAAGAAGTGGAAAAGGGTTATGTGCCTGCTGATTTCAGCCAGGGTAACAGTCCCCATTGGACCAGTTCAGCTGGCTTCAAAAATGGAACAGCTGGAACCCCGTTTGCCTTGTACAGCGGTCCAGTTCAGTTCGTGCTGCTTCCTGAGTCAAGCAAGGTATGTATCTGGCACACCTGCCTACATCTGCCTACTCAAATGTACGAGCATGCACAGGTCCACTCCAAAGACTTAGTTAAAAGAAGTATCAGACCTTCCAACCACATCCCAAATCACTTCATGCAGTGTGACAAAATCAAAAGCAAAAGAGGAAACAGATGTGTGATATAAGACATAATGCGCAATCACAGAGGGAACTGTCAGGATGCAAAAGGGCACATTGAAAGCTTTATCTTGTTGTCCTATTTAATGATTTTTTTCAATTCTTTGAACTATCCTCATCTTTACTACAGTTCAAATGGAAGGTTCACCACATGCTACTGATATCAAGAAAGCTCAGAGATTTCTAAAGAGCTATCTTCATAAAAATACACACATGAAGCACTTACGTAAACAACTACAGCCTCTTGAAAGATATTCATTGAGAAATGTAAGTACCTGTTGTCTCCAAGGGCAGGATCCTTGGGTTTAGCATCACTATCATAAACAAAACGCTCTTGGGAGATCACTATGACATTGTCTGTAGTTTCATTTCCCAAGATAGTGATAACAGGATAACCCATCTGTAGTGTCCACTGATCCATTACTTCTTGGATATTTACAGATTTTCCAACCCTTTTTAAAGCCTTCAAGAAAAAAGAAAAGTTTCAATATGTTGAAGCAATATCATCATCCAACATATAAAACTCTTTTTTTTTTTTTTTGTCTCAGAGACCATAACAAGTTTTAGAGGTTTAAATAACCATCACACATGCACACACATAAACTTATATCCAGTACACACACACCACATAATTTAACAAACAGTCTCCATGTATCTTAAAAATAAACATTGGGCAATTTTGCCAGAGAAGAGAGTGACAGTCAGAAAGTTGTTTCCCACATCATTCAGGTACTTTTGCTGTAACAGAAGAAACAACTTGCTTTACAGGGTTTTAACAACAGAAATACTAGGTGGCTGTCTCCAAAAGATAGTCTTGACTAGCTAAGGTTAAAAAAGACTCAGTATTAGTTGATCTAGGGTACCTACAATAAGGGATATTCAAAAAGGCCTGGTTTCTAAAAGTACAGAGTTTTTCTGTTCTGAAAATCAAATGACTAGTTATTTGAAAATACTGCCGCTCATGTCCAAAGTGAGGCCATGTATACCAAGATATCCCCAGCTCCTTCATAAACTGCACCTGTCATAACACACAGAGGATTAATGTGTTCATATTTGATACCATATGTCAAGAAAATGCTATTTTACAAGTGGATTTTCATCTGAAACAAAAAGAGATACTATGGCATCATGGGAGATGAGATTGGGTATGAGGAGAATGACAGGCATCATTTGTTCTTCAGCAATGGAAATGTCCCTAGCTGCCGAACAGTCCTAGATCACAGACTGAGCAACCTCTGATGATTACAAGCAGAACCCAGCAAGAAGTCTTCAGAACTGAAGCTGCAATTGCAATACATTAGGAACAAAGCAGCTGGCAACAAACATGCTTACAGGTGAGGCAAACGGAATTATTAGCCTTAACAATAGATTTGAGCATACAGTATAGCTGTAGTGGTTATGGACCAGAATAGAGTCTCATTTTTGTTCTATTTTATTAGCTGTGGGTTCTGCTGTTCTTTCAAGATGACATTCATCCCTCTGACCTCTCATCGCCCAAAATTGTCCCAAAAGCTTTAACAGAGGAAGATACCAGCGGAGAAGCGAGAAAGACTTTTAACTTCAGATTAAGACATAGATTTAAGAGCCTGACTGAATGTTACACATCTCAACTCTCATTAACAGTCAGTATAGACATAGGATTCAGTTCAGGCGCCCACACACAGGTGGCTAATGTCATTTGACCTTGACCTGCCACTCCAGAAGAGTACAAATTTCCCCACAGATCTTGTGTTGAATCAACTAGACCCATCTGTATGTCTTGAACACCCTACTGCACCTAATCTGGCACTAGTTGCCTATATTTGAACAACTATCTCAAGTCCCTAGTCAACAATCAATGGTTCATTTTAAATTAATCATGTAGTGGCTAGTCAACTGAATTGCTCTCGATGCTCTGCTGACTATATTGACTAGATTTCTGGGACTCCAGTTGTTCCTATTCACCAAGTGTCAAGTGAGATGTCCTAAAATATTCAACACATTCTTGCAGAACTGGTGGACCTACAACAGACATGCTTATCTCATGTGGCAGCTGGAAGCCAGGTAGGATAAATTGTTAGATGTCTATGAACAGGCGATTGAATCCAGTCCTCACTGACAACAGTTGGAGCTTGGACACCTAGCTTATATGTATATACTTGCCTGTCTAGATAAATGCAGATGTCTTGACCTCCAGCTGAATCCTAGCTTTGGTGACAATAGTTACAACTAGATTGACATGTTTACACATGGCTGGAGTTGGTGCTTTTGCCCAAACTCCCAGACTGTACTCTACATTGCCTTGCACTCTGTCTTTATTCTGGAGTGCCCAGACTAGCCCTGTAGGTGAGAAATTCAGGCATGCTTGGCTCACTTTATGAAAATTAAACTCTGCCCTTATAGATCCCTGGACCTGGCTCTAGAAACACAAACTGAGCTTGAGCATAGCAACCAGAGGGAGCATGCAACTATAAGTCTGTACAGCACGCCAAATGTTACAGTAAATACTTATCTGTTTACACCACGCTTTAAAGCTTTAATAGTTTTGTCCTTCACCCAAATCATAACTCCATACAAAATCACGGACACACCTGATGTAAATGCCAAAGCACAGCACTTTCATCTGCTTTCCAGCTTACGGGCGTCAGCGTGCTGCCACTAAAGTCAATGATAACGGATTCCATGAAGTATCTTTTACTGCATATCAGTGACATAGCACAAGCAAGGAAATATATTCTAACATAACAAAGAATAGCAATGCTGCAAAAAACGTATTTTAATGTTGCCACTAGGTTAACTCAAATGGAGTTTCTTTGCACCACTTTTTATATTTGCTCTGGGGTCTGAAGGATCTCAATATGTATTATTCACTCCTAACCTCACCAAGAAAAGTACCACAGTAAACTCCTGCTTCTCCCTCAGTGCAATAGATTAAAGCATTTTACCTTTGACAATGTGTTCCAGAGATCATTTCTGGCTGCATTGCCATACTTGTGAATGGTTAAATAGTCCTACAGAAATAAAATAAAAATACAAATCAGTATTACTATACACAAGCCAAAAAACTAGAGCTGTGAATCACTGCTATTATAAGTTAAATCACATTAATGTTTGCATTTGTCAGAAATCTGGAAATATACAATATGTTCATCCTAAGGGAGTAAATAAACAGTTTCTTAAGCTCGTTTACAATGCAAAAATTGTTGCTTAAAATTTCATTTACAGCATTCAATGCTCTTCCTTTTCTGTGTAAGTCACTCTAAAAGCTAAATATTTTGAATATACATTAAAAATACTTGTCTAATCTCAGAAGGGGTTACTCAGTAATTCTTGGCAATGAAAGGAGAAGCTGCTCAAACATAGTTCCAGTTGCTATTTTAGTAGGTCATTCAAAAATTTGCTCACTCGGATGATAGCTAGATTTATTACAAAAGATTTAACTGAGCAATAGCCTACCTGAACTACAAACTCTTATCTAGGGACATCCTGGTGCTTCAGTGTGAACATACATCGTACTGACAACTGGGGCTCTAGCAGGTTATCACAAAGACTCTCCACAACAGGGAGCAGTGGAAGAGGGGTAACGGGAATCCAACTCTGTGTTTGTGCACAGGTACGTACACGTGTGTTTTCACAAGGTCTGGGAGGTCTGGGGAGGTTATAAACTGAATGCTTTCACCTACTCAGCCGCAGCTTCAATGACTGAGGGTCCATTCTTCTCCCATAGCAACCAGAAAGATAGTGTCTGATAAGCTATCATCACATCAAATTAACTTCCCAAATTAATAGTTTAAGCATATGACCAGGTTATGTCTGGGCCTTTCAGGCACAAAACGCTTCTGTTTTTTAATGACATCTGGAGAGTCAACACTGTTTGATTGGAAGAATTAAGTGAAAAAACACATCAGAGGTTGTAAATCAATGGGTTCTCCAGCATTTGAATTTCTACCATCTTCACTTTACACAATGGTAGGAGACAAACCCTAATTTACAGCACAATGATAAAACTGGGACAAATTTGCTGACTCTGTTATCTGCGCTTTGTGTGAAGTAAGATACTTTGGGAATAATTAGTATTTGGAAAGCAAATTTTCAGATACACAAATTGTAGCACCTGTGACAGATTTAGCTTTTGTCAGCCAACTCATAGTACAGCAAGCAGCAACTCCCATTTAATCACAAGCTAGGAAGGCTAAATGAGAACACTGACTCTGTAAATGCAGTGCCTAGTCTTAACAAGGTCATGAGAAGAACTTGGAAGAAAACACAGTATCACATAGGCTGCACCTATAGCACACTGTGCTTCCATTTTGTCTAAAAATACAGAATCATCTGCCGCACAGTAAAATATTCAATAGCTTCCAATGCTAAAGAAGTTGAATTGCAAATTAAAAAGCTAAAATAAGAATAAACAAAAGTGGGACAAGGTAAATAAATAACAACAAATATACACATACTTCCTAAGTGGTACAAGAAAATGCTGCATGTATTGGTCCTTCTGAGAGTTGCTTTCAGAATTGTTACACAGCAACATAAAATGGGCGGAACACTTGAGGATTTACTCCATCCAGGCAACAATCTTGTTTACCAATCTACCATTAGACATTAAATCTGGCTTTTACATTTTGCATTCAGAAAGACTGAAAAGAGATGAAACGCTTCTGTCCTTTTCTTTTGTTTTTTCTCCCAATACACAGGTTGGGAGGTTTAGATATGGCTCATCACTCAGTTAAAAATTTATTATCCTCCAATCTAACATGTTTATCATACAAAGGAAAACAAAAGGAATCCTAACATTTACAATGAAATAAGTAAACACAATGATAAATACAACATGAGTACAGTCCTGGCACCATACAACTCGATCATCCATTTTTTCATTACTTCATGAAAGCTGAATTGAGACCATATACATAGCATCAAACTAGGAGTGTTATCGAATGCATACCACACAAGAAGCAGTCCTAAGTGACAGTGTGCATCAAAATATTCTTCCAATACTAAATCTACATTGCAATTCAAAATCTGAGTGCACTTTCTACAGGCACAAGAGCATAAAGCTACAGAACCAGCTCCCACCAAACGTTCTCACATATCAGTATCCTGTTTTCAATAATAAGCAGTAGCAGACACCTAGAAAAGGTATGAAGCAGGGCAAATATACAGTGATACTTCACTAGGATGCTCTCCCATCATCCAGCACTCCATGATACAAGGAACCCTGAGCAGATTAGTTAGTATCTTTGTATTTAGCTGTTATCTTCTGTGAATTTGGCCAGTTGCTTTCTGAACCCATATAAATGTTTAGCATTTGCAACACCTTATAAAAAAGCATTTCCCCCTTCAGTGATCTGTTGTGTGAAGATGCCCGTGTTTCTAACATCTGCCGGTCTGCTGGTGTCATCTGTTACTCCCTAGTTCTGGCATCAGAAGAGACGGTGAACTACTGTTCCCTACTTCACTCTCCCCAAGCCATTCATGCTTTTACAGATCTCTACCGTATGGGTCCTCATACCAGAGCTTGCTTTTAAACTGAGGACACCATCAGACCCAAACACTGCCCTCTATGCTGTAAAGTTACACCATCCAGGCTGATGACTTCAAAGCTAGATAGGGTTACCATGACCCAGCCTGAGCTGTCATTACCAAATCAGCAGCCTCTCTTGAAGTCCCGTTCATGGACAGACACTCAAAAAGGAAGAGAAAAGGCTTATACATATCAGTATCAAATACATCCCAAGAAGTATCAAAATAGGAGCCAAAGATCTAAACATACCCTGCTTGTCTGTTCTAAGAATGGAGTATAGCCCTTTTTTCCTCCTGGGGACCCATATCTAAGTTTTGAATAGCTTGAAAAGGGGCAGAAGACATGTTCTCATACACTGTAAATCTCCAGGGCAGGAATATTATCCACTCCTTTGCCTTTACATTGAGTAGAAAAGAACCAAATCAAACAGAAGAGAGATGCAAGCCACAGAACAGAAAGGAGGATGACACTGAAAACACAGCTGCCTGACTCTGAGCTGTGCTCATGAGGCACAGCTCCAAAGGAGGTGACTTAAACCCGCTTTCTCACAAACACATATGCCTAGAACCATCTGGCTGCAAGGCTGCTTCCCATCATAAACTTTCAAGTCTATCACCTTCGAAAGCTGTTCCATCAACTGGAGCATGCTGGAGCATGGAGAGACGTCTCAGCCACCTTCCTAACTCTCTGCTATAGCCCTATGGTATGTGTGATTAGAAAAGATGGCATGAAAAACTCCTTAACAACTCAAGACTCTACAACTCCTCCTTTCTCTCAGTGTAATGCCACTTCTAAACTTTTTCTGTGCCATGGGGAATGTTGAAAGAAAGTTCACAGATACTGGCATAGTGTCAGTCAACATGAAAATTAATCAAACGCACCCACAAAAATGATCATTTGGTTTTACATTTACAGCAAGCATCCTCTTGTAATATTCTTCTTATGATCCTGGCATTAAAACATGAAGCCACTCTTTGCCAAAAAGAATAATGGAATGTGATCCCTTCACCTTTATCAATAAAAAAAATTTAATCAGAAAATGTGGTTTTGTGACATGTGTTGTAGTAATTTTTAATACCAAATTAAAAAAAAAAAAATCCAGAATCTGTCATATCATGAAAACAAAGTCCAATTAGAGCACAACTAAAACCTAAGATCTTGCAAAAAAACCCAACAGATTTAAACTATAATGTTTTGCCACATAGTAATCTTAATCCCCTCTAAAAAAATTAAAAGGCTCAATGCTTTTGAAATTATTTTATTACTTGAATACTGAAGCAGATATTTTGATGGGTAGTACAAACAGGAGCACAGTGAAAAGTGCTAAAGGATTTTGAAAGATGTTTTTAGTAATGCTGTATTGATTAAGCTTGCAGGCCCTTTATTGTATTTGACCTTTTTTAAGAAAAAGAGATTGTTTATTTAAAAGGAAAAAGTCTTTTATCCCTTTGCAATCTTAGTTCTCTCAGTACTGCTAGGGATTGAGCGTCTTGGTTTCAAATAAATGAACTACCCCACCATCCAAACATGATAATGCTCACAACTAATAAAAGGTAGTGACTGATAAAGGCAAAGAGGTTAAGCAAGTGTAAAGGGGGAATAAGTCTCCAAACATGTATCCTACTTTCAGAGGAGACTTCAGATCTATAACCAAGAACTGAAACATCAATTCTAGGACCAAACTCCTTTCTCAGTTTAGCTGTACAAAGTCGATTGGTTGGCTGAAGGAACAGCTCCCAACTTATACCAGTGATGCTGAGATCTGAAACAAATGAACATTCGATAACTTTTCCTCCTAAAGATAACTGGGAAATTCCACTATATGAGTGAGGAAAAAGTAGCTAAATATTTTGGCATCAAATTCTTGTGGCTACGTTCCTCTGAACGCCCTCATTTCTCAGGGCTCAAGCAAGAGCAGTCTTGCCTCTACCTCCCTCTTTTGTCTTTTGTTGCTACTCCTGGGTGCACATTCTCCTCCCTTCAGCCTACAATATGTTCTTGTTGAACAGTTTTATACACGACTGCTGTATCTCACCGAAGATTTAGAGCTACTAATAAAAACATTTAGTTCAGGTGGAAATCAGGCTCTAAGGCTCTGGCTATCAAATCCAGTGTGTTTTCCCAGAAATTTGTCTACTTAACCTTAAGCCACCAAACACCATCTGACAGATGCTGACTCATTGACTATAACATGCCACCTTTTTTCCCCCCTTTCCTTCACACTGCTAACATCAAAGCTGCTATTGCATATTATCTTGACATTGCCTAACATTCAAATAAAAAAGCCGAGGCAAGGGTCAGAGGGAGGAAGCTACTGCATATGTTTGCAATGGTAAGTGACAAACAAGAGAACCAGTGGTAAAGTACTACCAGCATGCTACAAAGAAGTGAAAATTCCCGTAAGAGAAGATGACTAGAATAGAAAAGCTAATATAATCAACTAAGTTTGTTGCATTTTTCAGCTGTACAACAGACTAACCCTTG